GTTAGTGCTTTAGAATTAGGGGACCTACATATTTGAATTAGTGTTTTAGGGTTAGTGGAACTAATTTTTAGATTAGTGCTGCCTACCATTGGTGGAAATATATTGCTCTGAGTTGAACTTTGTTGTGAATTGGCACTGTATAACTGAACTAATTAAAAAATAGAATTTCATCCTGATTCACCAAAGCTGGCAGCACTCTGTGGGTCATCTTCTTGGAAACAGAAATAATCCACTATAATAATAGCCAGGCAATGATTTGGTACTCATTAAGTGATGGTACTTAAGATGGCATCAATACAACAATATAAAACTACTTACATCTTTCATCAACAGGTTTCCAAAAACAGATAAACCAATAAAATCAGTGAAATCAAGGAAACAAGTATCTAACAATATCCGTGACCTCACAGGAGCAGGGTTTATTCAGAAATCACATGAAGATAATTTCCTGTTTCTCAGGAAATAAACCAGAAGTCTCCTAATAAGGATGAGCTGTGTGTTCCCCAGTAATTTCTGGTAAACTATTCAGTTGTTCTTGAATAGCTACTCTTTGGTGTCATTGGTAAATAATCAGTAGTTCCTGAGTAGTTACATTTTGGTGTCTGGTAACTACTCAGTAATCCAAGAGTAGTTACTCTTTGGTGTCCAAAGAATATCTACTTAGTAACTACTCCGTAATTCCTGAGTAATTACTGACATAAGTAGTTACTCTTTGATATCCAAAGAGTAACTACTTAGTAACTACTCAGTAACAACTCAGTAATTACTCAGTAGTACCTGGGTAATTACTCTGTGGTGTCCAAAGAGTAACTACTCAGTGGTTCCTGAGTAGTTACTCTTTGGTGTCCAACCAGTAACTACTCAGTAACTGACCAGTAACAATTTTTTTGTGTACCCTAAAGTAAAGTGAAGCACCCGAAAGAGTAGTTACTGAGGAACGAATCAGTAACTACTCAGTAACTACTCAACAGATACTGAGTAGTTACTCTTTCTGATTCATGACATTTGAATCATTCAGTGTTTCTAGTTTTTTCACTTTCATCTGAGCCTGGCAACCCGCCTGCCAGAACTCAAGCCCTCCCGGCCCCACCAGGACCGCAGCCCAGGTACGGCACAACCCCAGAATCCTAATCTCCCAACGCCCACCCCAGCACAGCCAGGCCACCAGGTCAACGACCCATGACAGACCCCCTGAGAACCCGCATGCAGAAAGAAGAAGAAGAAGAAGAAGAAGAAGAAACCCCCCAGAACCACCAACGTCCCCCCAGGCCGAGAGCCCCCCTCTACCCCGCTACTTTTTCTATCACCATCTGCACACAGTCTTCATCTTCTTCATTTTCATTCCATTCATCTAGTTGTCCAGAAGACCAAAAACTCAAACTTAAAAAGAAATAAGAAATAAAAATAATGAATAAAAAGTAAACTGTTAATCTGATATTCTTCAGTGGGTGTAATTTTTTAATTAAAATAAAATGTTTCACATCATTCAAACCTTTCATTCAGAGGAGATCCGTCCACCCACAACCAGCTGCCTTCTGTCTCCAAGTCCGTCAGTCCGATCCAGAACCAGTCTTCAATACTGATCATCTTGTCTCTCAGTCTTCTCACCAGAAACTCCTGAGCAGTGAAAGAATATAATATCTCTGAGACTTTCCTGACAAGAAGAAACTTGATGAAGTGATGAAATGTGTGAGAACATGAACCTGCAGCAGTGTTTCATACCTGCTCCTCTCTGCTGTCGATCTTCACCAGGTCTCCTCCAACATCTCTGCAGAAACTTCTGCTCTCAGTCCAGTTGAGCTCATCRGTGTCAAAATAATAACAGTTTCCTCCATGTTCCTCCCAGCCTGCTCAGGAGAACAAAACCTTCAGAGTTGAGTTGATTTGGAGGCTGAAACATTTAGTCTGATTCTTTCTAACCCTGCTGTCTCACCTGAGAGGTTTTTCCACAGAGCTTCATTCTCCTCTCTCAGGGTTTGGATGGACTGATTGGCCGTCCTCAGAGCTGATTAAAGAGAAGAAGCAGTTATTTACGGGCACAATTTAAAATCCACCAGGAGAATAAATGAAAATCAACTCACAGTGTCTGATAAAAATGATGAGAGCAGCAGCCAGCAGAACACAGAGAACCAGCAGGACTACAGTCTCTGATGGAAGCTTGGAGTTTCTCTTTGGTTTTTCAGCAGCTTCACCTGAGGAGCATTTAGAGGAGAATCACATCAAGAGCTGGAGCCAGACTCACAGCATCCAGCCATCATCCAACCATCATCCAACCATCATCCAGCCATCATCCAGCCATCATCCAGCCATCACCCAGCCATCATCCAACCAGCATCCAGCCATTATCCAGCCNCCATCATCCAACCATCATCCAACCAGCATCCAGCCATTATCCAGCCATCATCCAGCCATCATCCAACCATCATCCAACATCTTCCAACCAGCATCCAGCCATCATCCAACCATCATCCAACCAGCATTCAGCCATCATCCAGCCATCAGCCAACCATAATCCAACCTTCAAGCCAACCATCATCCAACCATGTGTTTGATATTGTTGCCTAGCTGCAGCAGCCATCAAAATTTCAAATATTAATCAGATGTAGATGTTCGTGCATCTAGTGACTACGTACGGAAAGTTTCAGACTTATTTTGCCGACGCCTCTCTTCCCTACCAAAAGGATGAGCAAAGAATTACAGTAAATGCTTTGTTTTTCAGTTTCTTCCGTGTGAAACTGTAAAATTGATTTGTCAAAATGGTAATTTGAAGTAGCTGGCAATAAAAAAAGAAGGAAAGAGGTCATGAAAAAGAACATATTTTTATGTTGTTGCTTGGGCGTACCTGTCACAAAGTTCACCTGCAAATCAAGCTGTGATGACAAAACTTTTTTCTCTTGACGTTAGCAAAAACTAATCTGCAGCCAAAAGCAAAAGCGAACAAGCAATGTCTTTGTCTTTGTATGTGTGGGTACATGTTTTTGTTACCTGGTGCGTAATCAAATATATAAATANGCAGCTAGCCCAGGCAGCACCGACGTCTCAGTGCTGACTAGTGTATGTAGCCACAGAGTCACGGTTAACACACACTACACAAGGGATGCATCCCAACACTTTTACTTCAATTATACGCGTATTTTACTCACAAACCAACAGAGTACACACTTAACTCTGCGGCGGGAAACATGGTCATAAAAATAACAAAGAAGTTAGCTTAGCAAGGGTCGGACACACAAAACAAAACAACACTAAAAATCAGACGAAGCCCAACGCTGTTAGCTATTACAGAGACCCGCACATGACCCGCTCTGAGCTCTGAAGGCATTAATCAAATAAAACAGAAGTATTTACGACTGTAAAAAACCTCCATTAATCTGATATTAACCTTTTAAAGCTTTTTACAGGCCTGCTTCATGGCGCCATTTTGTTGAGTCTCAGTCCAATTCGGTTCTTCTGGGCTCCGTCAACTGCTCGGACCCGTCTCTCTCTTTGTCTGCTCCCGTCTGCCAGTCTGCTCACTCTGGTGGCTGCTGTTTCGGTTGTTTCGCTGAAAAATCAGTAAGCGTCCTTGCCTGTAAGCTGCTGGAAAATCACAAGGCTTCTTCCTTTGAGCTGTTGACTCTCAGCTAACACTTGAATGACGAAAGACGATAACTTCAGCTTCTAGACATGTTCATTTAACGAGAGATGCAAGAGAGGGTGCTAACAGCTAGGTGTTACGAAGAACTCTGACAAAGAGCGCGTGCCCGTCTCCATGCGCGCTCCGGTCGGACGCCCCCACGGTCTGACGCTCGTTCACATTTCTTAAAGGCACGGTACACAAAAATATACCACAATAGCAATAAAAGGTTTCTATTATAAAATTTTTGGGACCATTTGAATGTTTCTGTTAATGCGTTGATTTGGTCTTAAATGTCATTACTAATGGTCTTAAAAGGTCTTAAATTTAACTTACTGAAACCTGCATGAACCCTGCAGTCTCCTCTATCCCCTTCAGCTCTGGCTTGCCCCAGCCAGGGGTGTGTACTGAGCCCCCTCCTGTTTAATCTGCTGACATATACAGTGGTTTGCAAAAGTATTCATACCCCTTCAACTTTTCCATATTTTGTCACACTACAACCACAAACATAAATATATTTCACTGGAATTTAATGTGAAAGACCAACACAAAGTGGTATACAATTGTGAAGTGAGCCCCCTCCTGTTTAATCTGCTGACATATACAGTGGTTTGCAAAAGTATTCATACCCCTTGAACTTTTCCATATTTTGTCACATTACAACCACAAACAAATATATTTCACTGGAATTTAATGTGAAAGACCAACACAAAGTGGTATAC